ATCAAAACTCGAGCTTTTAAAATGTACTTCCGAAGAAAATCATTGACACTTTTGTCTAGAAATATAACATAGTCTTATTGCCTGAATTAGTATTTCATGGTATCACGTACACACGTTGCGAAAATGGTATCGTGGGGAAAAATCCATAAATGCATATTAATACTTACTCACTTATTTACTTATATCTGTTACCCCCCGTGAAGGAGGACAGGCAGCCCACCAAAACTCTCCATCCAACTCTGTTCTCGGCAATCCCCTCCAGTTCTTCCCACTTACTATTTATTCTTCTGATGTTTGTTTCCTATTCCCAGCTCAGTGTGTTCATTGGTCACCCTCTTTTCTATATCTCCTCAGAATACCGAATTGGCGCTTGCCTAGTGATGCAGTTTGATGATTTCCATAACGTATGTCCGGTCAACGGACATTCAGTATCCTCCGTAGACAAATATTTATAAATACGTATGCTTTGAAGGTGATGTTTATAGTAATTCTTCAAGTTTCTGCTCTGTACAGTTGAAGTGTCTGGACGTTCGCATAGAAGATTCTGAATTTGATGTTGGAATCTTATTTCTAATATTTTAAATGTTCGATTATTTTCTATAAACAACGTTTGTCTACTTATATGTAACCCAAGTACCATAAATGATTACTTTTACATTTAGGTATATTTAAACATGGTTTCTCAAGAAATCTGATATTATATTCAAGGTAATGACTCTACAATAATCGGTACACTGTAAGCTGATACTATTCGATGAATTATTCATATCAGGAAAATTGAGTAAACAAATCAGAAAAAGTAATTTGGATAAGATAATTTGCTTACAAAGTCTAAATGTTTTGAGTATTTGAAATATTTCTACATCCAAGTAACATTACACAAGACTAACTTACATCAGCATTGTTCAGTTTTGGAAATCATTTTAATTTATGAATGATTGGAGAGTGACTCCCCACGAGTACTCAATCACGATCCCTCACGTGGGATTCGGACCCAGGACCTCCGGTATCGCGCGCAGATGCCCAACCTCTAGGCCACTGAGCCCAAGAATGGAGATTAACCGACTAAAAGTGATCTCGTTTAGCTTAAAAATATTACAAGAATAATAAAAATAATTCTATTTCTGCATTATTTCAATGAGTAATAACCTTTTTCTACCAAATTTACGTAATTTACTTGAACTTATCGAGTCAAATATTGTTATTGATATCTATGTTTCAAAGAATGAATTTAAATATACTAAAGGGGAATCCGGTCAACATAGAATCCGACCACGTTATGCTTGTTCGTTATTAGAAGCTAGAAATATGTTAAATGCCAATCACATCATATTTGTAAATACAATTATCATCAATACAAAGATTCAACTTAATAATTTTAAACTAATTCAAGAGGTATTTAATGCAGTTCTAGTGAGATGACGTAACTAGTGAAATTTGTTGTGAGCTACTAAATCACTAAATCACGTATGGCTCAATTTCGTGCATTGGTTGGAGTTAAACAATAACACCGTTGGATATAGGCTAGATCAGTGGTCTAGAGATTAAGTGTTCGAGCGCGAACCGATGGGTCCTGGGTTTGAATTCCGTGGGGCGGAATCGTGGATGCGCACTGCTGGGGAGTTTCATAACTGGACGAAATAGCCTTCCAGTGCTTTTAGATTTCCCATGGTGATCTAGGTTTAATTGACTCATCATCTCAACAATTAAATTAAGCATTGTATAAAAGGGTAATAGTAAAATAATGACATACACTGTGATATCCCAATAAGTTGACTTAGTGTAAACCAAGTTTTCAGATTAGGTCAATAAATAAATGATCCATTTAAACATACATAACATAAAGAGATGAGATAGAATACTTAGTTGAAATGAGAATATAAACTAACAAAGTGGTCTGAATAGTTTGAGGTCATTAATTTATTTTTTTTTTATGGTTAAGATTATTCTATATGAAACATTCCTGTGTACTTGTATGTATAAAATATGTAATTCATTATCTATTTAAGCCTGGTTATTCATTCAACTTGAACTTGTTTATTAAAACAATCACATTAAGCTATGTTCATATCTCAACAACAACAACAACAAAATAACGGTTGACATGCACCCCACACTCTTTGATTCCATACGATAAATTTCACCTTTTTTTCATAACCACAACTCTATTAACACAAATACAATGGAATGTTTCATATAAAATAATCTTGACCAAACAATTCATGACATTGAAATAATCAGACTATATTTAGTTTTGATTTTGTTTGAACTAAGTATTATTATTATTGGGGGGTTGTTTGTGGAGATTTTTAGTAATTTTTTTTATATATGTAGTTGAAATCATGGGCCGATTGAAGCTAGAACAACATGGGAAACCTGCAAGTACTGAATGGCCAGCTCGTACTATCATGGGACTCCTCAGTAGTGCGCATTCACGAACCCGCCTCGCACGATTCGAACCCAGGACCTACCAGTCTCGCGCCAGAGCACTTAACCGACAGACCACTGAGCCGGAATCCAACAGTGTTAATGTCTAACTTGAACCAATCCATGAAGTTGAGCAACCATTTCACTTATATCTTCAGTGAGTTGATATCTTTCTCTCGTGGATGCGCACTGCTGAGGAGTAACATAATAGGGCGAAACGGCCGTCCAGTGATTTCAGGTTTTCCCTGGTGATCTAGCTCCAATTGACTCATGATCTCAACGATATAAAATATCACAAACATATTATTATTGTATTTTGTAAACATTATTTAAAATAGCGTATAATGTAACATACTATGTAGTACGTTTGATTAATCGGTTACTTTTACAAGTGTTCTGAAGAAGTTTATTTTTTGCGTATTTGCTTTTCTGTTAGCAAATAAACCTGAATATACTATAACTATCAAAGTAGAAATGAATGGTCTGTCGAAGAAATAAGCTCTACTAAGCTGACACATTTAAACCCCTCGATAATCTTAATACAAGCAGACCTCTGGGAGCTATTTAGATGGTTACAAGACATCTTATATCTAATTGCCAGGTGGTTATAACATTCATCCTTCGTTTGCCAAGTGTATATGTGAACGGCTCTTAAGTCACATACTGTTTTTACCTCTGCACCAACAACCAGACATTCTTACATAACCATGCATTTAGTCAACATTAACATAGAAATTTCTTCTACTCATATAATCATTCTATTACTACAACAAAACCTGGTCCTTCATTGGCTTAAGCTTATTCGGGTGATTCAACAAACGTCTAACTTGACTCCAAGACGAATATATTTCCTCCATTCCACACATTGATTCATTTGGGCACGTTTGCAATCGTATTCTGTCACCAAAAATAAACCTACAGAAAACATCGAATTAGAAGTAGCATACAGAACTGACAACCCTACCTAAACTATTTCTTTCACTTATCCAAAATTAGCAAAGCTGTAACCTCCCTTAGAGTTTCAAAGAGCCGTGGAGTAGATGGCACTGCATCAATTTACTGTTCTAAATCTTTAACACGGTTAACCACAAGCTACGTATGAGTAAACTCATGTTTTACAGAATTACAGACCCACTATTCGCTTGACTTTATTCTCTTATCAGCCAACGACATCAAATAGTTGAAATAAACTTTTCCTTCCGGTAACAAGTGATGGTGCCTTGAGTCCGCTTCTCTTTAGAGATTACAAAAACGATATCTGCAATAACGACAGCTTGAGCTAATCTTTTCTACACCCACATGATCCTGAAATGGTTGGTTCATTTTGTCTTTATGGGCTTTTCCATATTTAAAATATTTTCAGTATAGAGTTCAACATGGTCGCTGTGTGATGTTAAAATTGATCTTTCAATTTGAGCCTTACTAAGTATGGATAGACTCCCTTTAGTGACTATTTGCTCAATTTTGAATTCACAATAAACGATATGGTATTATCAAGATTTAGTGTGGTGGTATATTTGAGACTCAGGAATTCCCATGGCCTGTCCTTTGCGAAACAAGTCTCAACGTCTTCTGAGCTATTAGCCACTTGGATATATAATAATGTCTCGTTGTGGTGTGGGTTACTGATATCCACATAAGTAGTATATAACGATGGTCGAGCATTGAATGTATTTCACTAGAAGATCGATAGGGAGAGAACGGAAACGGCCCGCAATTGGTACGAAAATGCATGAACAATTATAGTCGGAGACTATGGATGATATTTGCAGAAGGAACAGTCAAATTGAGACAATTGATTGTTATTTTGCAAATTAACTGTTCACTATATGGTTTTCATATTTTAATGAGATATTCTGTAATGTCGTTCTTAAATATATTCGATTGTCCCCAACTGGTGTTCTTGTTCACTGAATCATGTTACTGAAATAATATATTTTCTGACTGTTGGTGTTAACTATACACAGAAGTGCAGGTTTACTTGTTTAATCCTGTAGAATTATACGAAACAATGAATTTGTTTAATGTTATAGATATATCATATCCGTGATCTTTTGACACAACAAAACATTGTACTAAGATTTTAAGTATTATAATTCCAAACTAATTCTTTGGTTATGTGTTTTCTACTTAGAATTGGTTTTAATAGTGAAAACACATTTGAATGAGTTCTTCTAGTGATGTTGACACTTGGTGAAGTACTTTCATCGAAAAACTCATTTCTACAAATCATTTAAAAAACGGAAAGTTTCCTATTCACTGGATGGGATGTCTAACCCCAAAAATAACCCTCCTTCTTTATCCGGGCTTGGCGTAGGTAGTAAACACAGAAGGAATTCAGATTAATTTTTCCGTCCTCCTGATGAACAGAATCAAGACGTTCTAAACTACATTAGTCATAAAGTGATCTCATTACCACTAGTAAAAATTTGACTTACTAAGTGGTTACTTGGATATATTTGACTCATAGTTTATATAGAAACCATAGATAATGAATATTAATTGACAATTATAATTTACAATAGTATGAAAATAAACCACTTTTTAAGTAAATATGTTTCTTATATCCATCACAACAACATAATTTTCAGTGCAATATACGTTGAAGTATTTCATTTATGGTTAAGTGTTGAATTTCTTCCAATTGTCTTGTATACCACTCATCCTCTTCATTGTTTGTTCTGTTATGATTATTATTATCGACATATTCATGGGACAATTTTCTTGTTCCGTTTTTATTGTTAGAAAGTGATTTGGTTTGTGACTGCCTTCTTTTAATCAGTGAATTCATTTCTTCTGAAATATACGAATAAAAAGCATTGAGTGTTTGGGAATACATTCAACGATTATCAAAGTATATTATTGATATTATATTATTATGCGACGTTGTTGTTATCATTGTCTCTCATTTGTTAATTTTATTAAGATTGAAGATTTGTGTTGTACAAGATCAAATACAAGATCGTAAGAAAAGATGGAAAATGGCTAGTAGTGGAATCCAGGACGCGCGTTTCGTCCTATTTGAGACTCATCAGCTGGATGTATGGACATATGCCAATTAGAGACTGACCAGTTGCAGTCCTAAACATCAATGGGAAGATTCAAACAAACAATACTAAGTGAATTTAAAATTCACCCCATTGCACAAGCAAGTAGCTATCAAGACTCAGTGGCCGAGTGGATAACGCAATGGCGTTTGAGGCGAAATGTACTGGGTTTGAGTCCCAGAGTCAACATCAACTCAAATGGAGGTACATCCAGCTGACAAGTCTCAAATAGGATGAAACGCACATCCTAGATTTCACTACTGGCAACTATCCATCTTCGCTTACAATGCTTGTGAATTAAGGCTATTTCGAGGCAATACGCACAGTTTGCACACATGCCAATTAGAGACTGACCATTTGCAGTCCTAAGACATCAATAAGAAGATTCAAACAAACAAGACTAAGTGAATTCAAATACAAGATGTTTTAATTCCACGGGATACTTCATTGCTTCGGAAAGAATGACCCAATATTCGTTGATTCACATTTCCAACTTTGATCATTTAGCAATACAATGCTATATTTTCATGATTTTCCATCATGGCATCAATATCTGTAGTTATCATTACTTCATTGTCATGCATACAACGAAAAGTGACTGTGACAATGAAGTCATTTTCTTACATCATATACCACACCCGGTATTACTTTCAAACACGGACGATTAAGCATGTCTTGAATACAGAAAAACCATTTGAGTGATAAGGTTCTGATTCAAAACAAACAGAAACGTAACAAATAAGTGAATCAGGATTTCAAACAATTTACTGAATAATTATAATATACATCAATATTCGTATATTTTTGTCATTTACAACTGTACTCAGTACCAGAATAAATCATTCAAAAACGAGCTGCTGGTTATTCTCAATTCCCTCTCTTTGATGCTACTATTTGTTGACTTGTTCCCTTTTCAACCATCTCCTTACTTCACTCGCCCTTGAGGTGTTCGCTTAATGGAGTTTGAGAAGCAAAGGCTCCGAAATACCCGTTTCCTCTTCATTTGTTATATCACTGTGGTGTATAATCCCAACCCTAAAACAAAGCCGAATCTACCACATTTATGTTTCTCAGTAAACACGTTAATTTCAACCAAGCCGCACTACTGTATATCCACCAACCAATCCAGTTAGTAAATAACTTTTCAATACTCAACTTGGTTCACCCTGATGAAGCATGCTATCTTGTCAAAACGTTAACGAATTCATTTCGAAGTTAATCACTTAAAAGAACACTAATATTATTATCTCAACTGGTTCTCTGTAGATGATTTGATACAATAAATATCATCATAAATTTATGTTATGTTGCAGAACAACAGTAAACAGAAAAAAATTAAACTGATGTAATCGTATCATTCTTGTAGAATTACCCAGACTTATTGACCGACCATCATTTCCAACGATTCTCTTGATATATTTTTGGGCACATATCGTGAATAAAAAGTCTTAAATTTACGTCGACGGAAAGTAATTATTCTTTACCATTCAGGCATTATTACTAACCTGTTTTTCATAATCTATCTGCTTCTAAATATCAATGACAGTGATCATCTTTTCAGCTATTGATAATACTGTTAACAATCATGGTAATGATATTGATAATTTAATAATTGAGTTCACTAGTTAATTAAATTTAGACCATCATAAAAAACCTGGAAGCATTAATTGGCCGTTTCGACCTAGTATGGAACTCCTCAGCCGTGTTGGAAAATCAATTTATAGGTGATCTGCCTGATGCTATTACAAGTTCACGTACTTGGTAAACGGAACGAAGGTAAAAGACAAAGTGACACGATAGGTTATTCTAATCCGTTGTCCCAGGCCCTGCTAACTAGATCAAGAAGTCTTGATAAGGCTTAGGGAATGTATTCTAAAAGCATACAGGAAATACGAGATCACTAAGCACAAAAATCAAGTTTATTTATAGAATGATAGAAGCGCCCTAGGGAGAGCTACAAAATAGCATACTAAAAAACTCGCCAGCCAATGACAGTCAAGGATCTCCGAGTGGGAAATGTAAGCTCTAGGTCAACTAAGCAATTCTTGACGCGAAAACATAAAATTCAACTTTTCAGAATAAAATTACAAAATTAGAACCTTTTCCAAGTGAGTTATGGAGATATAACGTTCCTAACAATAGATAACATTCATTTATCCGTCTGGTCACATTATTACTAGTAGTGTGTTTTAGTAAAATATCTTTTTCATAAAATGTGACCATAATTTACTTATTTCGATAAAATATACATAAAATTCTATAATACCGAGAAACTCTTGAATTAAACTTACTATATCAATAAGGAACATTTCTTAATAATACAGTCTCTCTACAGATTTCCAAGTTTATTCAATTTTCATCAAAGAAGTAGAACCAAATCTGTCAGATTTTATCATTGATTATCTGCTGACATTCATTTTCACTTCTTTTAAACTTTCTTTTTTCTTAAATCCTAAGTATTTATAACATGATTGACCCTTATCAATCTTACCAAATCTACTTTATCATTTTTGATTAAATAAATTTATGTTACTACTGATAACAGAGATGATATTACTCATTTTTTCTTTCCAGTAAAATAATAATGAGTTTCTGTGTAAAGATTAAATCAACATCTTTTCTTGTAAATTGTTTTTTTTCTGGCTTATACACACTTGGTGTTGTTTGCTTGTATCTTCCCATTGTTATTTAGGACTGCATCCTGTGCGGACTGCCTCGATATTGCCTTAAATCACAAGCTTTATAAACAAAGTGAATATAACTTCACTCCATTGTACAAGCAGATGGCTAACAGGAATCAGTAACTAAGTGGATAACGTGATGACGTTTGGAGCGAACAATACTGGATTTGAGTCTCAGAGTGAACACCAACTCTGAGATGCAGGTACATTCGGCCGACGAGTATCAAATAGGACGAAACGCGCATCCTAGATTTCACTGCTAGCCACCATCCATCTTTGCTTATAAAGCTTGTTTTTCTGGCATTGGAAAAATTTTTTTTTGGTAATTAATAATTGGAAGTAGAACAAACCCATAATCTCGTTTGTTTTGAGAGTATACTAATCTGACCGAAATCAACATATAAGTTATTTAACTTATGTCTTTGGAAGTGGCCAGAAAGGCAATTCACATATATGCTAGTATGTATAGTCTTATGAAGTAAACAAATTTTTCCTTTAGTGGTACTTTGAAATAAGTAGAATGCAACATCCAATAGAAGTAGTACATAGTCCAATCTTCAATATATACGCACGGAATAAACAAAAGGAAATATTTGTAGTTACATACTTGTAAACATTTTGCTGTTAAAAGATGTATATTGCAATATATTACCGACAGCTAGTTAATTAATAAAAGCAAAGGTTGATGGTTCCATTTTAGGTTACCAAATCAAGTAAACAAGTCCAGTAACCACACTTGCTGGCCTCATAGGAAATGGGATACCAATATACAAAAAAAAAAACATTTCTCATCCAAAATACACAAAATTACGCAATAATAGATTGATAACAAGTTAAACTTACCAGTTTTTATTAAATCATCCATTGATGTTCCAACAGAATTCTTTTCAATAAGATCTCTTTCAGTTTTTCGTTTTGTATCTTGGCAATCAAAACTTGCACGATTTTGTTTCAATGTAGGTTTTGAAGTATTTTCAAATTCATTCAGTTTTACTACTAATGTTGATAATTTCTCTTCACAATTAGTTTGTTGCGTCAAATGTAGTTTTAAGTGTTTATCTAATTTTTCAACATTATGACGAACTGATTGTACTTCCTTTCTTAACAAATCCATTCCATTTTCATCATTAGATCGATTCAGTTTACTAGAAGTGCTTATTATACTATTTCGTTTCGAATTGATTTCTATGAATTTATCAAGGGTGTTGTTGATGAAAGTGCGTACAATTTCTTCAATATCATTTCCAGAATTATCTGTTAATTCATTTACATCATCATTATTATCTACATTATCATTTTTGACTGTTTCCTCTTGTAAAACATCTTCATTACCCGTTTCTTCTGACATGCTTTCTTTAAACTGTAACGTTTATTCTATGAAAAATTATTTGAACTGATGATACGTGATAATTGCAGGTTTCTTTTCCTTTAAAAACCTTTATACATAATAATGTAACAATATTTAAACGATAATTTGTATATAGAGTCTATCATTATACTATAGATTACTTTAAGTAGTATTGTTTCACTGATTTGAACGAATCAAACTTATGTTCTTTATTATTTTTAGGATTAAATATAGAAATCTAATATCATAAAACAATGAAACTTAATGTTACCTATAACATGCAATGATCAAAACAATAGGTCATCATCGTGAGATCATTCTATCATGTGATCATAGAAATAAGAATAAGAAAGTTTTTGTAGCTAATTGAAATTTCTATGGATTCTGTTGTCCATTAACTTCCAATATATATTGGATAAAACATAAAACCTCTGTGTTTATAATGGCCTATTCAAAAAAATATATTTCTTCTATCACAAAGAAAAAAACACTTAATATTAGTGTTATGAAGAGATTTATAACGGTGTAAATCCTCACAGACATTGATAATTATGATCTAATCAAAATTAGAAATTACAAGCATATTATAAGGGTTTCAGTTCCTTAATCAAGATATTATTGCAGCGGTAGTGTGATGTGGGCTACTTATTTTCACATACGTAGTATATGATGATGGTCAGACATAAAATGTATTATGGCAGAAGATCAATAAGGAAAGAACAGGAATGAAGTGTAATCGGTACGAAAATGCATGAACAATCAAATCAGAGAAGACGGACTCATATATATGCAGAAGGAACAGTTAAGATTGAGACCATAGATTATTATTTGAAAATTAACTGTTTCGTGTATCGCTATCGGTATTTAGTAACATGGTCTGTAATTTGCTTATATATATTCGATTGTCCCCAACCGAGTCCTTGTTCAATGCCTTAGGTCTCAACATACATAAAGAAAAAAGCAAGATTCTCAAATTCAATACGAAGAACACCATACAATCACACTTGATGCAAATCTCTGGGAGATGAGCAAGCTTTCAAGTACCTGAGAAGAATCATCGATGAAGAAAAAGGACAGGATGCAGATGGAAAGGCAACGATTAACAAATAACAGGCCTTATTCCTACAGTTGAACAACATATGGTACTCAAAACAACTATCAACCAATATCAAAAACAGAATCTTCAACACGAATGTCAACACAGTCGTATTGTAGGGAGCTGAAACTCAGAGAACCACCACAACCGTCATCAAAAAGGTGCAAGTATTTATGGCTGATTGTCTACACAAGATACTCAATATCAGTTGGCCGCATACCATCAGCAACAGCCTACTGTGGGAGACGACAAAGCAGGTTCCATCAGAAGAGAAAATTGAGAAGAGAAGTTGAAAGTGAATGGGATATACATTGAAGAATTCATTAAACTGCATCACGAGGGAAGCTTCAACTTGAAACCCTTAGGGAAAACGGAAAATTGGAAGGTTGAAGAACCAACTACTTGGGGAATTGGAGGAAGGAAGAATAGCAACAGGAAAGTATTGCGCGGGACAGGGTTGGATGGAGAATGTTGTTTATTAGCCCATGCTCCTCCACGACGGGTAATAGGTGTAAGTAAAATAAAAGTGAATGAAAATAGATCATCCTTTTGATGATAGCTAAATGCACAGATTTCAACAAATCACATCACTAGTAATATATGAGGTTGTTTCGAGTATGTAAATCATTTTCAGAACACGTTTCAAGTATAACCAGTTTTTAGAGGGGGGAAAGACTGAGAGCTCGCTGATATGGACTGATACATGTTGATAATTGTGTAGTGTGATGGTATAATATGATTGGTTTTTACAATGTTCTCACTACTAAGATGTTAAAGAATGCTTTGAAATTATCTACGACTACAGGTTTGCTACTCAATAAGCCTATAAATGTAAGTGGAACCAAATCATCTATTGAATAAGCCATGTTGCAATCGATACTGATGATTCAGTCCTGTACCAGAGAAAGATGTAAGTCACTACCATTATTCACTAAGTGGAATGTGAATCCGTTATGCCCAATTTAAGATTTTCGGATCAGACTACAATGATACTTTGCATTATACGGTTTACTGTTCACTGTCTACAATTAGCAATCGAGCAACTTTTGTTATTTTCAGAAGACGTGTTGTGCAATGCTGTCGTATTATTTTATTGAACGAAAGGAGCAACTGAAAATAGGCTACTCGTTCTGGTTAACTCATCATTATTCGATCCAACCAAGGTAGAATGTACTAAGAACTGTGTTGCTAACTTACCATTTTCAATTATTACTAATAATCACATGGTCGGGATATAATTTTCCCAAAATGTGCGTACTCACGCAAATCGAACATGTAATCCACTCTCCATTTTCATCTACAGCATACATTGTCAGTTTAACAGAAAAATATTTGCAAAAGAAAATTATCATACAGTTAGTTTCCTTTATGAATTTAAATAAAGCCAGAACAAATATTGATGCAGAATAATATGAATTCATTATATATCGTGGTTTCTCATCAGCTGCTTACAACCAAACATGTATTGGACTTGTAACCTTGGGGTAATAAATAATGTGGAACAATTGACATAAGTCAATGTATAGAATTGGAATGACAAAAGGTCATCAATGATAACTATATACATATATATGTGCTAGAAAAGGTCAGAGGTTATTAGATATTAGAATCAAGGAAGCATAAAGGGTGGGTAGTGTGATAGTTGAATGGAGTTCAGAGACAGATCAAATTTGTGATGATTTTAGAGGTAATGAAGGAGTCATGGAACTGAAAACAAATAGGGTGGATTACGTAATATTTGAATAGAATTTGAACAGTTCATATAATTTAGGAGAGACTAGTGAGCAGAAATGTGTGAAAAAGTGGTTTAAGAATTGGTAATGGAAGAGGAATATAATAAAAACTATATATTAACCAAAATAAAACTAATATCAAAAAAAATTAAAACAAAAAATGGTTTACCAGGTTAGTAATAAGTTTATCACTGTCTCTTTTTGAACAGTTATTATTGATAACCTTTTATCATTCCAATCTTTTACATACAATTATGTCAATTGTTCCACGGTGTTTATTACCCCAATGCTAAAACTCTAATACATATTTGGTTGTAACCAGCTGATGAGAACCACGAAATATAATGAATTCATATTATTCTGCATCAACATTTGTTCCGTCTTTATTTAAAAGAAAATTAACCGATTCATCCTTGCTTATTTAGCGTATGACAAAGAAGTACTCGACTTCACTGATATGTCTTTACTCGAATTATAGGTTGACGAAGTGTCCGTAGTCAGCATTTTGTTGTAAACATCTGAAGCATCGTTGGTAAATACTGGTAGTCGGGTAATGAGACGCTGGTGCAATCAAATAAATGGATCATTGGCATTTACATGAAGAGGATTTAAACCTCTGTTGACTTTGAACTCGTCATTGGCTTAACATTCACTCATCTTAATGTCTTTGGTTTCGATGACATCTAATTTTTTCTCAAATGTTCACGTTCATCCTCTACTAGTTCACGTAATTCATGTCTCTGTCACAACTTATTATACGATTTATAATGCTGGTTAAGAATAATTAAACGTCAGCTGTTTCAGAGGTCAGAAATTCAGGTGGATATTACGTCAATGCATTGACTTTTAAAATGATACTGAGTATACATGTTTTTATTTGCTACTCTTCATGTGTGGTTAAAGAAATCATATCAACACTAATGGATAATCACCGACATTCATCCCACACTCTCAATTCCAACACGCTTTTCTTAATCTCTAAACAGCGAAACACACTCATCGCATCATCATCAACAATCAATCAGAATATCGGAAACATAACTGGAACAGTCAGCACATAGTTTCTACATTTGAGTTCCATGGAATCAGAACGGAAACTTAATTCTTTCTCTATTCAATAGTCGCATGCAATCGACTAACAACTAGGGAAACATCTGTTGATTCACGTTAAAAATGCTTCTCTCCAAGTTTACTAACAACAAACTTGCAATCAAAACAAACGCCTGAAATACCTCGTACAAACACAAGGAAGACATTTTCATGTACGCCAGATTCAGAAGAGATACGGTTGCTGAAATACTGAGAAACAGATCTCCGATATCTTTTAGAAAACCGATTTAATTATTTAACTAAGCTTCTCACTATAGGTTTCAACCGGTTTCCGATTTTATTACATATGTTAGGTATAAACTGACACTTTTCGAAAAACCAGTGTACGAACACATGTTTACTTACGATGAATGAACAATCGAACTCATTGGGACAAACGCTTTCCAAAAGTATTTCTCAACATCACGCTCTTCTGCTAGTAATCACACATTCAGTTTGAAATACTTCATCAAAATTCACCACTCTTCCCCAAAACAATTATCCTACAAAACCATCTACTCAGCCACAGTAATGAGCTCAGAGGCGGAAGCGAAATCTTATGCACTGAACAGGCTACAGTAATTCAACGATTGGAAATTAAACTATCTTGTATTTTTCATTCTACCAGGGTCTTAAACTTAAACCCTATTTTCTTATTCTTGTAAATTACTTGTTATTACTATCCACATTATTTATTAAGTTTTCATAGTCCCCTCTTTCGTTTGATGGTCGTTTAACTGACAACTTTATATCATACTTCATATCGATAGTCCTTCCTGATTTCACCAACAATAACAAGACTGTTCTTCACACCTGACATTTCTGAACAACTTCGTTGTGAAAGGCGGTTTATTATTTCTCACACTCATATACACGCTTCCTGTAAGTTATCAATACCTGTCGGTTAAGGGACAATCTCAACAGTGAGTAAGAAACTGTACTAGCCAAACTCAATCAAATTATGTCTACAAACCTGTCTGCGGATATGGACAAGCCAAACCCTGATCAATACCATTCTATATTAATTAGTGAATTATCATTTAGCTTTGATTGCCAATACTATAAAAAGACTATCTGAAGCAGTTTCGACAGAAAAACAAGTAGTGAAAATTACGTGGAATATTTCGAAATGTTAAATATAACCAGTACAACAATTTAAAAGTCATTTACGTAATAGAAAATTAATCAAATAATAAAGTTTATATAAAACCTCAAAGTTGGTTCATCATTGTTACAACTGATCGCAATAACTAACAATCATGTTTCATGGATTAACGAACAATTATCCCATTGTTTCTTTTCAAATATTCTCCAACTAGTTGACCTGGTAACTGTTCAAATAATTTAAATTCATCCGTAGATGTAGTAACTTCATCAGTTTCAAGACGATTTACAACTGTTACGCAAACTAGGATGGCTAAAATGAAGTGAACAACCACACAAATATGATTAGTAACACAAAGCAAGATGAGACATAAATCAAAATTCATACACTGATAAATGTCTTCATATCTTTCGCAATATATTCACTACTAAACATCCATACAAACATATTCATTTTTGAGTAATACATTCATAAACATATTAAATTTTAGGTAATATCAGATCTATTTTCAGGAGCATAATTACTTCACTCCTTTCGTTCAATAAAGTAATAAGACAGCATTGCAAAACACGTCTTCTGAAAATAACATACGTCGATTGATTGCTATTTGTAGACAATGAACAGTAAACCGTATAGTGCAAAGTATCATTGTAGTCTGATCCGAAAATCTTAAATTGGGCATAACCGATTCACATTCCACTCGGTGAATTATTGCAGTGACTTACATCTTTCTCTGGTACAGGACATAATCAGTATCGGTTGCTACATGGCTTATTCAATTGAGCATTTGATTCCCCTTGCATTTACAAGCTTGTTGAGTAGCAAACCTGTAGTCGTAGATAATTTCAAAGCATTCTTTAACATCTTAGTAGTGAAAACATTATAAAAATCAATCATATTATACCACCACACTACACAATTATCAACATGTATCAGTCCATATCAGCTAGCTTCCAGTCTTTCCCACTCTTAGTAATTATAACAAAAAACTCATTGGAATAACACAATATCAAGAGAAAATAACAGGAATTATTATTCGAGCATTTGAATTTATTACCTCGATGACCGGTTAAATTGCAATGAGATGTAATTGCAGCACCCTCCATTTCCATATTTCTTATTCCATGCTCATAAGCTGACTGAAGAAAAGCTAACTTTTCTTCTTTGCTAAAAGTACAAATCGATCCATTCAATCTTCCTAGCTCTATGGAATTAAAGAAATATATAATTATTTCTCAACTCAAATCGAAAAATATGGTAAAATAAGGGGAAAACGGATGCTTCGCATTGATGTAATGCTGCCTCATCAAAAACAATTGACAATCCACTGCCAACATCTTTTCTTAATTTCTTCTTCTGACAAAAATTAGTTTGTCCTCTCCCACAATTGGTGTTTTTGGACTCAATTGGAAGGGAACGATAAGTAGTTTGGACAAACCATACTAATCGAAAGTCATTGATTTGTCACAATGTTAAGATCGGAAAAGTCGTATTTCGATTGGAGTAACTAGATTGTGTATATCTATATTCATCTTATCATAAGCTTCATTTTGACCTATTGATTATTATTATAAGAATTACTGTTCCTAAATTATACTCAGTTTATTGATTATTGAATCCCACGTTCACAACCACATTTGACTTGCAGAAGCTGCAATTGGTGTTCTGGACTCAATTGGAAGGGCTAGGCGACCAAGGGACCAATAAGGACGCTAGACTAATCATACTGATAGAACTTTATTGATTTGTTAGAGTTAAGATAGGGAAAGTCGGATTTCGATTGGTGGATATTTCACGTGATAAAAAGACGGACATAAGATCAATAACGAATTACCATAACTCCTATTTTTTATGTAGTCACAATACTTACCTTCATAAAAGTCATTGGCAGTGATTGTACCACCAACAACAACTAAACATTTCAACGAAAGATCCTCAGAAAGCTTTTTCAACTCATTTACAGCATTTGAGTCCACTTTAGTTTGTCGACGGACAGGTTTACCAAGAATACACTGAAATTCAATTTAGTGAATCAAATAATGCACGAAATAATAGAACTGTTACAATGTTAGGCATTTAACATGATATCATTTCAGAAATAACATCAATGTCAATATATCACGCATGACAATATATTTCTGAATGAACAGAGGAAAATAAAGGCTTTTTAAAATATCCTAGAACTCAAAATGCTCATATTCCTGTTCCCCAGTGAACACAGTCTCTACCGATAAACTACATATTTCGGATAATCAAAAGATAGATAGATAAATAGATATACAGAATTAGTCTATTAATTACTTCTTTGAATGGCTCAGCAAACTCGTAAACACCATTCACTCATTCACTGATTCTACATATATAAAATTATTTAAGTAAACTTTGGATGATCAACTCCAGACATTCGTTAGTTTATCGAAATCAAAGAGTTCACTTCCAAATACTTCCAACATTAAAATCAAACCCACTTCACCTCAATATTCAATCAACAATTCATCATTCACTATACTAACTTTCTTAAATGTTTATCTATCTCAGCTACTTACTTGTACTGAAAGTAACTTATCGATTTATATTAAAAAAAATAATTAGTGAAATAAATGTCTGAGGTCGTTGTCGCGCACTGATTATCAATCGATAAACTATGTGTTGTGGTTCACTATTGTCTGCTATATCTAAGCCACCAATGCTCACTGAGTGAGTTTTTCAGTTAAATCACTAACACAAATTACACTAACAATTCAGAATAATTCAGAGATTTTACAATTCATTACATTCAAATTATTACATACCAATTCGTTATATGGCTCTAATTTGGTATTCACGCAACGATCGGACAACACTAATGTACCAGGTTTCACTCCTAATTTTAATCAAATAAGAAAACACACCGTTATGATAAGATATTCATACAACGACCAAGTTATTTCGACAATCAATAAAATAACTTGTAAGTATCAGCGTGATGTTGTCAAGAGAGTGTTGAGTTTTATTCTAATCACGAACACATCAAACGTAGACAACCATTAAAAAGATGGAAACATTAGACGGATGGAACACTGTCGTCCGATATCGTGAATCGAGTGAGGTTACACTTGTTGTTCATCATCGCCTCATGCCACAGTACTTACTTACTTACGCCTGCTACCCCTTGTGGAGGAGCATAGGCCGCTCACCAGCATTCTAAATCCAACTCTGTCCTGAGCCTTCCTTTCCAGTTCTTTCCAGTTGCAACTCATCCTTTTCATATCGGCTTCTATTTCCCGGCGTAATGTGTTCTTTGGCCTTCCTCTTTTTCGTTTCCCTTCCGGATTCCAAGTTAGGGATTGAGTCGTGATGCACATTGGTGATTTCCTTAATGTATGTCCGATCCACTTCCAACGTCTTTTCCTAATTTCCTCTTCAGCTGGAATCTGGTTTTTCCTCTCCCATAAAACGCAGTTGCTGATAGTATACGGCCAATGGATGTTTAGTATTTTGCGTAGACAACTGTTTATAAATACTTGTACCTTCCTGATGATGGTCGTAGTAGTTCTCCACGTTTCAGCTCCATACAGTAGGACTGTCTTGATGTTCGTATTGAAGATTGTGACTCTAATATTGGTTGAGAGTTGTTTTGGGTTCCATATGTTCTTCAATTGTAGGAATACTGTGATTGCTTTGCTAATCCTCGCCTTTACATCTGCATCCGATCCTCCTTGTTTATCAACGATGCTTCCCAAGTATGTGAATGTTTCCACCTCTTCCAGAGTTTCGCCATCAAGTGTGATTGGGTTGGTGTTCTCCGTGTTGCATTTGAGAATCTTTGCTTTTCCTCATATCCTGTGTTGTCCACTTCAACTTTAGCATTTAGATCTCCCATCAGGATGGTGAGGTCCTTTCGTGAGCACTTCTCTATAATTGATTGCAGCCTTTCATAGAACTGATCTTTATCATCGTCGTTGCTATCATTGGTGGGTGCATAACATTGGATAACGTTCATTGTGATCCCCTCCTTCTTTGTTCTGAATGATGCTTTGATTATCCTGGGTCCATGGGATTCCCATCCCACAAGTGTATTTCGTGCTTCTTTGGACAGCATTAGAGCAACTCCCTGAGTGTGTGGACCATTCTCCTCTTTGTGACCGGAGTACAGCAGCATCTCTCCTGTACCTAGTCTTTGTTGTCCAGTTTGTGTCCAATGGGTTTCGCTGATTCCGAGTACTGCTAATTTGTATCTTCTCATTTCCATTGCTATTTGACTGGTCTTCCCTGTCTCCCACATTGTCCGGACGTTCCATGTACCTATAAAAATTGTTGCTCTGGTTGTTAGAAGGTGCATCGGTCTCGTGACTTACGAAGAATTTCGGCTTTCATCATGAGACGTCATAATTATTCCTTCAACTCCCAGGGCAGAGTTTAAATGGTTTGAATTATCTTTTGTGGTTAGCGTTTTTTTAGCGAGTTAGCTTTTCTACCGGATGTGGTCGCTAACCCCATACCCAACCCTCCTCCTTTACCCGGGCTTGGGACCGGCAGTAACTCTAGAAGAGCTACAGGCGGAGTCATGCCTCAGTAGTCTAGAGTTTAAGCATTCGCAAGTAACACTGTGAGATTAGGTATGTTCATTGTCGAGAAGCACCATACTACAACAAAACGCACACCTAGTGCCTTTCGCTTTCAATGGTTGTCCAACTGAGATTGATTCGTGATTTGAATACAATCAGTGAATAATTATTCTATTTATCAAGTTGGTTTTCATTTATTTCAATGATTTATCGACACATTCCAATCAGCGATGAAATCCTGCTCATGAATTTCCATGAAGTAAAAGTTCACTGTTTTATCATGCACACACTGAACACGCTATACAACATATATCAAACCCAGACAACAACAATCATCTTGACACTTCCATCACATGGTGTTATTGACTTCCTTCGAAATATACTTCTCGTTTTACAGTTCTGTATGAGAATTGATATTTTCAATATATTCTGATCTTGTTCGCTACTGTTCCTCATTTACATTGGGTGTTGATTGAGTAGATATTACCCGGACAATTCAAGCAATGATTGTCCTTCAATTCACCACTTATGGAAACTTGACATTTAAGCGAATTATTATGCAGGTAAACATTTATCACAGATACGGCCAAACTGGAATCGACAAAGGAACAGTCAGTGTTTCACACGAAATTTCATACTGAAAATTGTCCCTATATCATTATTTGTATGGAAATTATAAATATTAGTAGAAATAAATTAAACCATTTTTAATTAACTCCTCCGATAGCCCCCTTGGTGGCTACTAATGGTATCAAGCTTCGATAAATTAGGAGGATTGAACATGAGGTTAGCGACCCCATCTCGTAGAAAACTAACTCTCTTAAAAAAACGCTGACCAGAAAAAAATTATTCAATCCATTTAAACTCTGCCATGGGAGTCAGAAGGTCTTCATGTAGAAGAGTTATGACGCCTCATGGTGAAGGCCGAGTCCCTTCGGAAGTCACGAGGCCGATGCTTCTCTTGACAACCAGAGCAACAATTTCTATATGTACATGGAATGCTCGTACAATGTGAGAGATCGGGAGGGTCTTCCAAATTGCTGCAGAAATGGGGAAATACAACCTGGAGTTGCTTAAATTCAATAAAACACATTGGACGCAGGTTTGACGACAACAACTAGCTTCAGGAGAGCTTCTGTTATACTCCGGCTGTGAAGAAGAAAACGCCCCATATACACAAGAAGTTCCATTGATGCTGTTCAAACATGCACAAAATGCACTTATAAAATGGGAACCTCATGGACCAAGGATCATCAAAGCCTCCTTCAAAACAAAGAAAGAGGGTATTACAATAAACGTCATCTAATGTTATGCGCCTACCAACGACTACAGTGAAGACTTTAGAGATGAATTGTACGATAGGCTGCAGTCAATAGCCCTCAACAACATGTTCCAGGCCTTTCATGACCTACTCAATGGAGAAGTAACTGCTATGGAGAGCAACTGGAAAGGGATAAAAGAGGAAATCACTTCAACATGTCAAGAGGTTCTGGGTCACAAGAAGCACCATCACAAGGAATGGATCACTGCTGATACACTGGATAAGATTCAAGAAAGGAGGAACAAGAGGGCAACAATCAATACCAGCCGAACAAGAGCAGGAAACGCAAAGGCACAAGCTGAATATACAGAAATAAAAAAGCAAGTGAAGAGGAGCATCAGAACCGAAAAACGTAAATATGTGGAAGATTTAGCAATGACAGCGGGAAAGGCTGTAAGAGAAAGAAACATGAGACAGTCGTATGACACAACCAGAACGATCAGTGAAAAGCAAGGATGGCAAAGTAATCACCAAAATTGAGGAACAACGAAACAAGTGGATAGAACGCTTCAAAGAACTGTTGAATCGACCACCTCCACTGAACCCACCCAACATCGAAGTAGCACCCATGGACCTCTCAATCGATGTTGGTCCACCGACAATCGAAAAGATAAGCATCGCCATCAGACAACTCAAGAGCGACAAAGCAGCAGGATAACACAACATTCCGGGAGAGGCAATGAAAGCAGATGTAGCAGCAACTGCAAATATGCTCCACATTCTATTCAGTAAGATTTAGGATGAAGAACAAGTACCAACAGACTGGAAAAAAGGATTTCTGATCAAGATACCAAAGAAAGGCAATCTCAGCAAGTGTGATAACTACAGGGGCATCACTCTTCTATCAGTGCCAGGAAAAGTCTTCAACAGGGTATTGTTAAACAGAATGAAGGACTCTGTAAACGCCCAACTTCAAGACCAACAGGCTGGATTCCATAAGGATCGATCGTGTACTGACCAAATCGCAACTCTACGTATCATTGTGGAACAATCAATTTAATGGAATTCATTACTCTACATCAACTTCATTGATTACGAGAAAGCATTTGATATAGTGGACAGGACAACACTATGGAGACTTCTTCGACACTACGGCGTGCCTGCCTGAGAAGATAGTCAATATAATACGGAATTCCTATGATGGACTAAACTGCAAAACCGTGCATGGAAGACAGATCACTGACTCGTTCGAGGTAAAGACCGGTGTCAGGCAAGGTTGCTTACTCTCACCCGTTCTCTTTCTTCGGGTGATCGACTGGATTATGAAGAAGTCAACATCTGGGGGGAAACACGGAATACAATGGACAGGCAGGATGCAGCTTGACGATTTAGACTTCGCGGATGATCTGGCTCTTCTATCACAAACGCAACAACAAATATAAGAGAAAACGACCAGTGTAGCAGTAGCCTCAGCAGCAGTATGTCTCAATATACACAAAGGGAAAAGCAAGACTCTCCGATACAACACAGCATGCACCAATCAAATTACACTTGACGGAGAAGCTTTGGAGAATGTAGAAACCTTCACATATCTCAGCAGCATCATTAATGGGCACGATGGATCTGATGCAGATGTGAAGATGCCGATCGGCAGAGTAAGAGAAGCATATTTACAAGTGAAGAACATCTGGAACTCAAAACAATTGTCAACCAACATCAAGATCAGAATTTTCAATACAAATGTCAAGACAGTTCTACTGTATGGGGTAGAAAACTGGGGAACTACGAAAGCCATCCGCCGGAAGATACAGGTGTTTATTAACAATCGGATCCGTTGGCCAGACATGATCAGCAATAGCCTACTGTTTGAGAGAACAAACCAAATTCCATCCAGCGGAAGAATAAATCGTTAGAAGCGCTGGAAGTGGATAGAACATACACTAAGGAAATCACCCAACCGCGCAACAAGACAAGCCCTCACATGGAATCCTGAGCGCCGAAGGAGAAGAGGAAGACCAAAGAACACATTACGCCGAACAAAACTAGAAATGAAGACTCAAAACAGAGTGGGTTGGAGAATGTTGGTTGTCGGCCTATGATCCATCGGGAGTAACAGGTATAAGTAAAAGAAAGCAAGTTAAAAAAAATTTTCAATTCTTTTACCTAAACCATCGGATGTTCCTAAACGTATAAACAACACATCCTTGCAACCGGCATAATATAATAATTTCGTCACTTCATGCATTAAAATTAATGTTGATGGTATACCAATTCCATGCTATATGAAAGAAATAAAACAATGAAGGCAATCATGAAGTTACTAACATATAACTAAAATAACTCATAATGTCATTGAATAAGAAAAAGAGAATTCAGCGAAGAAAATTTTCTTTTCGACGAAATCATTTACTTAAGCTGTACATTCGTATATGTAGTGATATGGAAAATATATGTCTATAGGGGGCTAGAAAGGATTGCATTATAAATGGATTCGACAATAAATAACAAATGAGGTGACGTACTAATCTAGGGGCAAGGAAGAAAATAATTTATGGGTCAGATAATAGTTCAATTGACAGATATGAAGGAAAGCGACAAACACAAAGGTCATAATAATAATAATAACCTGAGTAATAATCAAGAAAACTTGTATAAGGTAATAATAATAATAATAATAATAATAATAATAATAACTGATTAGAGTTTAAATGTAAAGTAGTAATTTAAAAAACAAAAAACAGATAATAATCAGATAAAAGTACAGAAAAAACAAAACAAAAAACGTATCCAATCAGGGAATTAGGGTCAAGGAAGGGTGAGTGGTTGGACAAATCGTTTCTGCACGCAAAGTTCAGGCTTGAATTCATGGATTGCCAATGCCTCAGCAGTGCATAAAATATTGATTCGACCTCCCTTTGATCCGGTTCCTTTAACTCTATAGATTATTTTAAAAGACGTCTCTTTTGGAGCAATGTGTCCGCAATTGATCAAGTGCTCTTGTATCGAACTGGTTATCTTCTTACATTCACCTTTTAGGAGCCAAGTTGGATAGTGTTCAGAGATACGTTTGGAAAGTGATCGCTTTGTGCGGCCTATATAACGTGCTCCACATGAGCAAGTAAATTTATAAATACACATCGATGTGGCCCAAAGCGAAAGCTTATCCTTAACACACCCCCGAATGGTAGGCCGGCTAGAGAAAACGATTCGGAGCTTGGCTGTGTAGAAAGTTTTATTCAACGTTTTTGAAATCCGTTTATTCAGGATTTCAGCAGCCGTGTCTCCCTTGAATTCCATATTCATAAACAAGGTTTTCTTCTGCACCATCAAAGTTATTTGTTGCTGACGTCTAGATGTTAAGTTGCTATCAACGAACCTCGGTGGATAACCATTTTTGATGAGGGTCTGTCGAAGATGAAGTAATTCTTCATTTATTGTGTCACTAGAACAGATTCGCTTAATCCTAGATGATAAAGAGTGAATTAAGTTCCTCTTTCGACTCAGTGGAACCCAACTATGGAAATTCGTGTATTGTCCATTCCAAGTGGGTTTTCTATACATAGATCTTTGCAAATAACCATCAGGCAATCTTTTCAAACGGACATCAAGAAAATGGAATTCGTGGTTCGATTCTGCCTCTAAGGTAGATTGAATTGAAGGATGACAGTTATTGAAAATATTTAATATTTCATTGTGGTCCATGTCATCATCACAAATAATGAAAGTATCATCCATATATCTCTTATATAAATGAAATTTCTCGATTATTGGACGAAGTGCTGAATTTTCTAGATTGGCCATGAAACAATCAGCCGAAAGACGACCCAATGGAGAGCCCATTGCAACTCCATCTGTTTGTCTATAGAAACCATCATTAAATTTAAATTGTACGTTGAGCGTGCATCGTAGGAGTAGTTCTTTAAGATAGTGTTTTGGGATACATATCTCCAGATTATTATTTTCAATATAGTCACATAAAAAACAAATAGATTCTGTGAGAGGAACATTTGTAAACAACAACGTGACATCTAATGAGAGCATTTTCTTACCCATTACGTTACATGAATATTATCTGACCCATAAATTATTTTCTTCCTTACCCCTTGATTAGTACGTCACCTCATTTGTTATTTATTGTCGAATCCATTTATAATGCAATCTTTTCTAGCCTCCTATAGACATATATTTTCCATATCACTATATATACGAATGTACAGCTTAAGTAAATGATTTCGCCGAAAAGAAAATTTTCTTCGCTGGCATCTCAGGTCAGCTACAACGTAGGACCAGGCACATATATGCATCGGTCCAAGTTGCCATACCTCGTTAGCACAACAAGAGGAACACAGGATTCATAGTAGTTAATCTAGTGTTGGTAGTAGTATATAAATTATAGGTTGTATATAAGGATATAGTACAGGAAGGAAGAGAGATATGAAGCAATTTTAGTCTCAAGGTTTAAGGGAAGATAAAGAGTGTATACACCTACACCATTGTGACCGATTCTGAGCCATGTCACCTAGAGTCTCCAACCATTGGTTGGAGACTCGCTGGAATCTCTTTTACTAACATGTTTTTTTACTAATGCTTATGAATCGACTCAATATCGAGGCAATACGCACAGTATGCACATATGCCAATAAGAGACGTATCAATTTCAGTGCTACACATCAACGGGAAGAATCAAGTGAACAATACCAAGTGAATTCTAGCTCATTATACCTTTGGTTAACAATATCGTTCTAATTACAATTAGGCAAAGAAATTGAATGGGATTGATAAATGAACCTCAATGAAAGTGCATTCACAATCATTGAAATATTTACGTCGCAATAAGATGAGTTAGTAAGAAATAAATTTGAAGTATTATTCATCACAACTGGACCAATGACGTGTAAACACGTACGAGCAGTTTACAGTCTTCATCGGTCAGGCTTCCTGTTTAACCATGCCTGTTAAATCCAGAACTCCAATCTCACCCTCTGTTGTATGAATCCTACATTCCAAACATACTGCGTTTACATACTAACCAAACAGACCACACAATACCACAAAATAGAAAACAACATTTGTACAAGATCGAACCAAAAGTGGAGTGAATATTGGAGATGGGAACTGATAGACTGGGCATAACTTAAGAAACACAAATAATACGGTAATAGTCTATGCATAAAAATAAAGCTCATAATAAGAGAAACATCAATATGTATAGTTTAGTTACTTAACAATTAAGCAATCAACATATATGTTTAGTATTAGTCCAGAAATAGATTCAAATCCATTATTCTCATCGAAATATAACACAACAGATTTCAGTTAGACAACCGTTATAACCAAATACCACTAGACAGCTGCATCTCAACACTATGCGACTTAGTGGACTGGTCTACAGATTAAGCACTCACTGCCAATCTCCAGGTCCTAGGTACGACTTCAGTCAGTCAGTCACAACGTAGAACTACGTACGTACGTACATCAGTTCGAGTTCCCCTCTTCTCCAAGCCTTGTGTACCTGTACTCATTACGAGTCACACACTTCGATGAAACAACAGTTTAGTTCATTGTGGGTCGTAATGATTGTTTCAGCAAAGTCAGTCGGTCATTTAAATCACTAAATTTCGTTTATCTAACTGCAAAAACATATTCATTCATCATGTTTAAAACTCAGTGCAAAGTTAATCACAACAAGTACCGTTTGAAAAATTAACAAAGAACAATGTTTTATGGACAATTTCTCAAATAAATTGTCCTAATCAATACTTCATTCTCAACTTACATCTGCAAATAATATATGATCCACTTTGTAAAGTACAAATCTGGCATGCGAACCGGCTATATTTTCTACAGGTAATGCCAAACCTGCTAATTTAGCCATTGATATTGCAAAATTATGGATTCTACCACTGCTACCACATACACAAACGAACTAATCAAAAATAAGACAAAACATTGACTACAGTAAATTGCAAATTATAATTTAATAAGAAACTTTGAAAAGCATTCATTCAACTTCATGACGACAATATGCAAAAGTGAGGAGAATATTCCCATTGAATCAATAGACATTAGTCAACTCTAGTCAGTTTACTTACTTCGTTTTCTGAACAGATTATGTTCACAACACAAAATCATTTCCAACTAGTTCAACTTAAATATAAACAGTGAAACAATGTAGAGAACTACATGAAGGTATTCGATCACACTAAATTGTTTATTCTACACGTTTCTATTCAATCGACGGTTGTTTGGTAAAACGAATACCAGACAATGTACATACAAACAACTCGTTCTTAGTGATAGTACTAATAACAATTGAAGATCATCTATGTTTAATGAAACAATCCAAGAAGTAGTATATACAAAATTCTTTCCCATTCCATGGAATACTTTCTTAGTCTATGAATGAGATATGTGTAAAATCAAAACAATAAGTCATTTACAAATATTCATCATTTACAATTTTACATATGTCACATTCATTCGATGAATGAATATATCAAGAGACAGGTTTATGGTAGATTTACTGCACTTGTAGAAACAATGCTCGCACAAATACTATCAAAATGAACACAGGAATCTACTGACTTCCTTCTAGGTATTCATCTTCCAAAAGACGTATAATCACTTGTTTGCCTGTGAACAATTAACATGCTCAACATATATTCTACTTCAAAAATTTCACACAAATCACGAAATCATTATGTCTTTCTATGGAAACTATAATAATCGTATTTCTACTCGGTAATTAATTTCCAAATTCCTCAACTCTTAGCTACACCACATTCACTAAACGTAGTCACCTTCACAATACTCAAGATAAATTAACTCTTATCGACTTCGTAACAAAATGAATTATTAACAATGGAAACTACCTTGACATCACCAAACTTCTCTTTGAAATCAAATGATTTTGTGGTGAATCCGAAATGATGGAACACATCTTCATCTAGTTCACTCAAATGACTATTCACAATCGGTTGCACTGTCGCCATTCTTATCAATAACTGATATATTCAAATATTAGGATTATATACATATATATATATTGCTTCAAACGTGTTACTCTATCATTTATTCTATACAATAGTTAACTTATATGGCACTAAAATATTTGATTGGCTGATCAACTCAATCACATTCTAATATGTACACACAGGCAAACAGACATTTTTCTCTCACACAGTTTGTTTTGTAATGGCTGGTTTTATGTCAAACCCACATAGTTTTTTCTAGCTTCTAGATAAACTAGTCTATCCATTCAACTCAAGCCACATTTTG